CCCCCCCCCCCCCCAAAAAAAAAAATCTGTATAATTATCTGTATATTTATACATTTACACACTCTTCTCCATTATTTCATGAATTAAAGCAAAAATGATTGACGTATGTTTACTTGCTACTATGCCATTCTTTCTAGTTACAGCTAGTCATCTCACTCATTCATATCTGATGCTCAGGTGTAAGATAAAAACTGAGAAAAAAGCCAATATATCTTCATTCTGCTAAGGCCTGATGGGCAATCAAACACAGGCTTTTCTGATTCTGGTATCTGTCATTTCAAAAGCTAGAAACAACTCTGTTTGCCCACCTACAACTGTATCACGGATCCGTTCCATTCCTCAGTACATCAAGATCCACCACTGTGCAATTGCCTTCACTATTGATTTTACTGCTCTTATTTTTCACCTAGTTTTAAAACCCACACCGAAAAGCATGTTCTAACAAATCGCCTCGCTACTGGCCCTCCGCAAGGCCGAGGTTACATCTCACCGAAATAAATAACTTGTATTTCAACCTCATTCTCATCTGTTTGGAGAGGACAGGAAACATTATTCTTGGATATTGGATCAGTGTGTCAGATAGACACATCCCTGCTTTGATTTGAATGCCCGATGTGGCACCCCAATCCTAGTCTTGGCTTAGATATAGCAAACCGATGCCAGCCAGGATAGTGGATTTCAGCTTTGAGACGGCTCTAAAAATATTTGCAACTAAATGCCAGAGCATTTCTGCAACACAGTGATGTGCCAGTCAGATGAACAGCGTGAATTAGAGTTAGTTCCGTCTAATCATCCTCAGAGGATGCAGTATTATAAAAGATCTCTAGTATTGGATCACTGGGCATTTTTCTTTTGGTTGTGTTTGGTGTCTTACTTGTATTGGGTGACTGGTGGATTAGCTTTGGCTGAGCAATGGAACTTCACCAGGTTTCCCTCCAGGACCGGTTGAGGCTCCACCGAGAGATTCACCAACGGCAAGTCTGCAAGAAGACAAAATAAACGAATAAGAAAACCTTCCCTTTTTTTAGCATAAATGCGCATGAATTGCAACCAATAGGTGGAAATGTGCTATTATCTGAGGAATTGTTCAGGCAGGAAATAATTGCAAGCGTATTAACTCTGCATCATCAAAAGATGTGAATTTGTGAAAAGCAACTAAAGAACTGTGTCAACTAATGAGAGGTATACCTTTTTTATCTTTGCAAATGAGAACTAATTAGAACAATGGTTTAATCACAAAACATTCTATCACAATAAAAAAAAAGAGAACACAATGTAATGGCATTTAGACTAAGACAATAATAAGAAACACACAGATTATGCAACCAATACCATAATACCCTTTTCTTTTATTTGAGGGTGTATTCACACCTGCCTTGTTTGATTCGATTGAATCGAACTCAAGTTTGTTTCCCCTCTTGGTGCGGATCTTTTGGGCAGGTGTGAATACAGCAATCGCACTCGGGCGCAGACCAAACAACCGTACCGAGACCCAGTTGAAGAGGTGGTCTCGGTCTGCTTCCAAACGAGTTCTGGTACGGTTGAATGGATGAACCAATGAATGGATGACCTCAAGCACACGTGTTGTTTTTTTCAAAATCCTTCATCACTTAATTTAAGACTATAATAATTGAATTTTAAAGCAGAGCAACCACAAAATCAGACTTACTTTAAGATCATTCTAAGGTTAAATACGTATTTAAGATCATAACATGAAATAGTTGAATAACTATTATACAGTTTTTGAAATCAAATCTTTGCTATGACAGGAAACACTGACATCTAACAATGCATTGGGCAAAAAAAAACAAAAAAACTGTTAATTTAAAATATAGCATATGCACAAACCCAAATAGGAAATACAACCGTTATCAAATAAGCATATGTCCTATTCTGCGTCCTAAACTCCTCAAACATTGGTGTCTCATATTTTAGAGCAGTCAGTGCAATTTTGGAAAGTAATCTATCAAATCTGTATGTGGGTGTGTGTGAAAATATTCAGATGTAACTGTTTACATTTTCGTATGTAACTAATTTAATTACACTTTTTTTTTAACAGATTACAGTTACATTTATTTTGTAATTAGATTACGGTATTCTGTTACATTTAACTATTATGCTTCCCAACACTGTGCATGATCATATTCTAGATCCCTTAACCCTACCAAAACATAACTATTTACTCACTATTAATATGCAGCAAATTAGGCAACCCAGTCTCATAAAAATACGTACCTCTGTGTACATTTCTGCAACACCGTTTTTACGTACCTTACTGCACGTTTCGCCGCAGTTTCAAAGAGAAATGTCCACTGAGTGGCGCTAAAACACGGGTTCAATACGTCCACCCTGGCACGTTTTTATTACGTTGATATAGGTACGTATTGCTGTGTTTTTATTGCGTTTCTTCAGGTACGTATTGCGGCGATTCAGAATTCAAATATCCGGGGACTGTCGCTAAAAGTTAATGCTCTGTCGTGTTGGAAATATGCCCTACACCAAACCGAACCCTAAACCTACCCGATAGTGTTAACAAATGCAAAACTGATATAAAAACACATGTTTTGATGCAACCGTGCCATTTTCACTTCCTTATGCAGTGCTAACAATCAAAAGCATCAGTTTTCAAATCTCCCAGCATATTAAAAATGTTTTGAAGTCACAACATAATACTCATCAAGTAACTGTGCGAAAATTACGCTTTATTAATCTAAACTCTGTAAATCATACTCTGTGTGAAAATAATTTAAAAGGTTTCGGAGTTTTACTGCCTCTAGTGTTCATTTTTTTTGGAAACTGCAGTGATATGTACTTATTGGTACGTATTTCGCGTCTTGCAAAAATGTGCCCCCAGGTACTTTTTATTTGCCATGAGACCGGGTAGAAATTAGGAGCTTACTGAGAGAAAACGCTTAGATAATAATACATATGTGTCCCCTAATCTAAAGTGGTACCAAAAATCTTTGTTTAGCATATTTAAATGTGAAATAGTATTATTAGATGCAGTATGTCCCTCATATGCCTCTCATGCCAGGCCTAATTTTGCATTGCCCACTGAGAACAGCGACGATGTACAACAAAAACAGCTTTATGGGTCTCTGGGGAGGCTAAAAAAAGGAAAAGAGACCTAATTGTTGGGCTTTTACCAAGACTGGACAGTGGCAAGCGCAGAAGCTAAGCAGCACACATCAGCGATTCAGAGTCCACGGGGAGCAGATAAAGAAGAGAGAGAAAGATAAACCCAGTGCCAGTCATGCGTTTGAGAGCCAGCTATTCTACATATATGTTTTCTGTGTCCTATTACACTCAAGTAACACTAATTTAGTCTGTGCTAGCATGGCTGTATTCAACAACACAGATCAGCGGAGCAAAAGAACACAGGCCTGACTCAGCTGGAGTGTCACCGGGGCGCTGCTGTTGTGTGTGGGTGCATGTCTGCTCTGAAGAGCAGTATGTGGCCCGCAGGAGCACAGCTGGGCAGAGCGGCATCCCAGCGGTGGGTGCAGGTGCTGCCCTTTCCCCCATCTGCCTTTTCGACCACACACACCTGTGCCAGGTTGTTCTCTGGCTGAACAACACCAGCCGTCATTCCTGAGCCCGCGGGACACACCGGCGCAACCACGGACAAACTGATCAGTGCTGTGTGCTGCCCGGTTACCAGCAGGATACGTGTAAAGCGTTTACTCTGGCTAATTGAGCATGCAGGTAGGAGGATATCTGGTCAGTTTATTGTCTGATACATCTTATAAAACAGATAGTTAATCACAGATTGTATATTGCAAATGCCTATTTGAGATGAACAGCCTACAGCTGGGCTAATGGTCTATATTGGCAGAAGCATAATTTATTATGATATTGGCAATTATTAACCCTATTGCATTATGATCAAAACTTGTACACAATGTACTCCATGCTTTCTGTCGTCTGATTGATAGTTTTAGCCAGTAAAGAAGGCCTTTAGCATAATTATAAAAGCACCCTTTAGCTTATGGTTCATGTGCCATTTTGCTGTGAAATCTTTACTGATTTTTATAAAGTAAATGTATGAAAAAACTAAACACTTTAGATTAGGTAACACTTTAGATTAGGGAACATGTATTCACTATTAACTAAGAGTCTTCCCTCAATAAACTCCTAATATGCTGCTTATTAATAGTTAGTAAGATAGTTGTCAAGTTTAGGTATTGTGTCAGGTTAAGGGATCTAAAACATGGTCATGCACAATAACTCATTAATATGTGCTTAATAAACAAGCCAATATTCTAGAAATATGCATGCTAATAAGCAACTAGTGATAATTGGACATTAAAATAAAGTGATACCACTTTTATATTAGAAATATTTTAAGATTAAATGCTACTGGACTGAAGCAACTGACAGTAAGTTTATATATACAGTATATATATATATATACTTTTTTTTTTTTAGAAAAATCACATACCAAATCAAATATCAAATATGATCATCAGGCTTTTGAGGACAGTTTATTTGTTCATCTCACATTCATCATTGCATTACATTGCATAAAATGTTCAACACACTAAAAATTACAGAGCTTTCATCTAAGACATTATTGGAGGATACAGAGTGACTGATATTAATATCACTTTATTTAAGAAGTCTGCTATACTGTTATAAAGATTTTAATTGAGTGACATTATAAATATCATACATTTACATTATCAGACTTTAATCTTACATTTTGGCCATATAAATATAAGCAATTTCACCAAATTGCATATTTTTGCTCAGTTTGGTCCTCTCCTTAAAGGGCTCATATGATGCTATTTTAAAGATCATTATTTTGTGTATTTGGTGTAACAGAATATGTTAACATGCTTTAATGTTCAAAAAACACATTATTTTTCAAATACTGTACATTATTGTAGGTCCTCTATGCCCCGCCTCTCTCAAACACGTCGTTTTCAACAAAGCCCCTTCCTTTGACAAGCGCAGTCTGCTCTGATTGGCCAGCTGACCCAGTGCATTGTGATTGGCCGAACACCACAAGCACGTGTCGGAAATGTAACGCCCCTTACCATAATCGCGAGCTTCAAGCTTTCAAAGTAAATATGAAGACAGTTAATAATGTCGTTAGTTTTACCATCAGTTCAAGCCCGAA